TCCTCCTCATTCTCCTTCTGCTTCTCCATTTCCTGCTTCGCCTCCTTCTCCTCGCATCAATCACCCATGCTCATCGCCTCTCTCCATTCCTCCCAGTTGCTTCTCACCTCAAGGCCAGCATCAAGTCAGCGGTGCATTTTTCTCGCGTCCAGTGCGGGACAGTCTGCCTGCCCCAGCATGTCGAAGCCCTTGCGGCCTCGCGGGCGGCGGCAGCGGGCCTGCGCCCCTGCGGCCTCGCGAGCGGAGGCAGCGGGCATGGCGCCCCAGCGGGCGCTGAATTCATTCACGGGCACAGCGCGGCACAGCACGAGTGGGCTCGTCCTCTGCGTTCGTCGCGAGTCGTCGTCCTCCTCCTCCTCCTCTTCGTCCTGATCCTCCCTGACCCTGACCCAGCCTGTCCCCCTTGCAGTGTTGTGGCGTTTCGTTGGGCTGTGGCTTCCATGGCTTGTGCTGCGTGGGCTGCCATCGTCGTCGCCACAAGCGCTGTGCCGAGAGTCTGAAAACAGGCGGCGGCAACACGGCGCATCGCCCCGGCGCGAGACGGGCTGGCGCGGCCTAAACAGAAGCGGAAGTCGGAGAAGTCGGATACTCCTCTCTCCGCTCCCCCCTCTTCCTCCTCCTCCTCCTCCTCCTCCTCCTCCTCCTCTCCTCCCCCTCCTCCTCCGCCCCCCCTTCGCCTCCTCCTCCTCCTCCCTCCTCCTCCTCCTCCTGAGCCTCATTCCCATCGCTGTCGCCCTCCCCCCCCCTGCGTGCGCCCTCGAGTGCGAGAGGGGGAAAGATGTGAGAAGAGGGAGGAGGGGGAGGAGGGGCCAACGCCGCGCCCCCTACTATATACACCATCTCTGCGTCAAGGACGCGCGCGGCACACCTGACACCCAGCGATGGCCCATCGTTCGATGGCGCGCGCGCGGCCTGGACAACACAAACACAAAACTAAACGGCATGCCAGCGGCGCCGCAGCGCCTACTCCAAAAGATGTTTGGTCTTCGCCTTCAAGACCTTGTCTTCCTTCGACGCGGCCGCGGGGGCCGCCTCCTGCGCCCCCTCCGCCGCGGGCACGCTACCCGCGGATTTCATCATGTACTCCGCAGCGGCACTGGGACCCAGCAAGGAACCCAACTCGCAGGGGGGCGCGTTGGAGCCGCGAGCGCGCTTCACCCTGGGCTGAACCTCGCCCGCGATGTCATCGCGAACGAGCGCCGCGCCGTCACACTGGAGCTTGCGGTACTCCTCACGGTCAGCCATGGCGACATCGGCGTCCTGGGCTGCGGAAACGTTCAAGGGGACGACGGTGTGCACCTCGAGCGAGCATGTAATGCAAAACAACTCCGCCCCACTCCTCACTCCCCTGCCCCCGCCGCCCCCCCTCCGCGAGCTAAGGAAAATGCGCGGGGGGGAGACGGCGTCGCGGCGTAGACGACGAAGAGTGGGAAGGGGGGAGGGGGAGATGGAGGGACATAACGAAGAGAAGGACGAGAGGGGGAGTATGACGGGGAACCGCGCCGACCAGGGCGCAGCAAAGGGCAAAGTGGCGCCATGCATTTGACCCCTGGAGGCCCTGGAGGGCCTGGAGGGCTGGAGGGCCCCCTGGAGGGCCGAGGAGGGCCGCGCAGTCTTCGAGCCAATGGCCGGGGCCGAAGACAGCTGCTTCGGAATGCGAGAGGGGAGGGGTTAGAAAGAAGCAGATGAGGGCGAAGATGCCACAGATGGCGAGGGAAAGAGCGAGAGAGTGGGACGGCGGGAGAGAGTGAGAGAGAGAGAGAGAGAGGAGAGAGAGAGAGAGAGAGAGAGAGAGAGAGAGAGAGAGAGAGAGACAAAAAAAAAAAAAAAAAAAAAAAAAAAAAAAAAAAAAAAAAAAAAAAAAAAAAAAAAAAAAAAAAAAAAAAAAAAAAAAAAAAAAAAAAAAAACGAGAGAGAGAGAGAGTGAAGAGAGAGAGAGAGAGTCGTAATAAGAAGAGAGAAGAAGAGACGAAGAGAGAGAGAGAGAGAGAGAGAGAGAGAGAGAGAAGAGAGAGAGAGAGAGAAGAGGAGAGAGAGAGAGAGAGAGAGAAAAAAAAAGGTAAGGAGGCAAGGACAACGAGGGGCAGGGGAAAGCGCAGTTACGAGGGGGAGGGGGATGGAGGGATGGAGGGGGGATCGAGGAGAGGGAGGGCGAGGCGGAGGAGGGGGGAGGGGGGGGGAGGAGGAGAGGATGAGAGGAGGATGAGGAGGGAGTGGTGATGAGTGGTGATGTCATGATGCGATGATGAGATGAGTTCTGCACAAGAGCACCTGCATCTTGAACGCGTCCGACACCCCCTCGACAGTCAAGTCCGGCGGGAGCGTCATCTCGCGCAAGACCTTCTGGCCTTTCACGTTCACCGTGAGCTCCGTGGCCTTCTTGTCGAGGAGCCGCAACATCCACGCAGGGGCCGCGAGCTCGCTGGTCACGCTGGACACCTTGTCGCTGTTAATCCACACCGCGACTGCGATGTCGTCCTTCTCGTCCTCCGCTGGGAACTTGAGGTGGCACGCTGGGGGCGACCTCGATCCACGCTCGAAGCTGAGCGGGCCAGCGAACGTGAGTCTCAGCTCCGGCGACCACTTCTTGACGCGCAGCACGGGCTCGTTGGCGTCGCCCTTCTTCTTGTCGGACCCCGCCGCCGCAGCAGCGGCGCGCTCCGCCGTCCAGTCAACCTCGATGTTGGCGAAATGCTCTGACTCCTCGGCGCGCGCTATCCCGTGCAGCTGGCGCTCCAGGAACAGGAGGAATAGCTTCAACCATCGGCAGCACGGCATCCTACCACGAGGGAACGTGATGGTGGCGGCTGCGGCGTCAGCATCATATTTGTTCATGTTCGCAGTTGTCAGCTGGTTCAGCACGTCGGACCCCGCCGCGAGAAGCATGCCCGATTCGTCCACGAAACTAGCGGGCACGTTTGTCACATCACTGAGCCCCCATCCCTGACCCCTGACCCCTGACCCCTGACCCCAGACCTCATCAGACCCCATCTGGCAGATCTGGCCCCCATCTCCCATACCCATTTCCCAATCTCCCCCCCGCGGGCCCCGCGGGGCCCATGCCCCCCCCCCACCCCCTCCCCCGAACAGGGGGAGGGGGTGAGGGGGGAGGGAATGATGAGCATTGGTTGACAGCTGGACCTGGAACGGAGCTCAGGGTCAGGGGGAAGAGGTCAAGGAAAGGAGGTGGGACATGACAAACGCACGTGTCCTGAAGAGATTGGACAGCGGCATGCGAGCGGACTCGACCATCGCGACGAGCGGGTCGGGGTTGATGGTTGCGGCTCCTCCGTGAACGACGAGGTGTTGCGACGACGAGCTGCCGCTGCTCTGGGCCCCTGGATTCTCGGTCTGCTTTGCAGGCTCAATCTTGGGATCGAGGTCGACGCCGAGCTTGGCCGCGGCATCGACGAGGCTGGCCTTCGCACCCTGTGATGCAGTGATGCTCTTCTTGGTCCTGATGGCGTTGCAGAGGTCGGCGACGCTCTGCGAAAGCAGCCTGCCCAGCAGCCCATGCGATGGCACGTTGGCGCACTTGTACTCGCCCAGCGCAGCAGTCACGCTGGCGATGCATTCGTTCAGCTCCGCGTTCGGGACGACGCAAAAGACGTCGGCGAACCCCTGCTTGATGCACTGCGCCCTCATGCCGCAGAAGTTTGTCGCATCCATGCTCGTGGGGAGGCCGCCCTGGCAGCAGCTGGGCACCTGCGAAGTCTTCCGCATGTACTGCGATATAAGTAAGGCCAGCGTGCCGAACTCGTCGGAAAAGACCTTGGTAAGGTGCTTGAGGACGACGTCCACGACTCGGTCAATCAAGCGATTGAGTTCGAACTGGTCACCCGAAATGGTCTCTGCCATATCCTCTGGCAATGGGATCTGCCCCGCCTCCTCCACCATCTGGTCGACGACAGCCTTGTAACCGCGATGCATGCGAGCTGGCAGCTTCAGCGAGGTCCCTTTCACGAACTCCCTCACGAGATCACCCTGGCTAGCCCACAAGCGGTTGATATGGGCCAGTAGCTGGTCGTTCGATGTTCCGGGCTGGAGCGCGACAGCAAGACCGTCGATGTCGTCGATGTCCTCATCGCCGCCGATCAAACAGTCGACTAGGAGGTCGGCAACGGATTTGGCCCCGTCGATTGACGTCAGGGATGCGGCCATCGTCTCAGTCGTCTGCGTCGCAAGCGTCCTGAGCTTTGCGCGCAAGTCCGGCCACTTGGTGAAGCTGTGCTGACCGAGCGCCAAATGACCTTGCCAGCAGAATTCAAATGCCAACAACGCAAAACTTCCGACGATATCGATCTTCTCAGAATCGCTGATGTCGTCGGCACCCTTGGCCAGAAATACTGCCGTCTTCAGCCCCGTCAGACAGTCTGTGATTCAGTAGATGTGCTTGCTCTGGTCGGACCAATCCTCAGCGGGGGTCTGGATGGCGACGACCTTCTTGTTGGATCCCCGAGTCTTCTTCTTTGCTGGCTCGGCAGGCGTGGCGGTAGTCCCTGCGCTGTCCTGATCCTGCTCCCTCTTGGCGATGATCTGCTCCCACTTCTTCATTCCCTTTCTCTTCGTCGCGGAAGTGTCCATCTTTGTCATCAGCATCCTGACCACATCCAGATTCTGCTTCTCGAACAGGAACGGGATCGCTCGCTGGCGGGACGGCGCGGCGCTGTCGTCGTCGTCAGCTTCGTCAGCTGCAGATGCCAAGGGCAAGAAGAAGTAGAGCGCTTTCATGAAGACGTGCTTCAGGATGGAGCCATCGATCACAGACTTCACCTCGTCGTGGAACACCTGAAAGGACAGCATGTGAATGTTGAAACTTGCGTTCGTGTTGTTCATGCGGGGGTCGATGAAACACACACTTCTCTCCAATAAGTGACATCGTCATGTCATGAATCTCGAAGCGCTCAAACTTCCTGAGGAGCGCCAGCCCAGCCTCTGGGGGGAGGGCGCCACTACTTCACTACAGGTCGGTTCTCTTGCCCCCCCCCCCCCCCCCCCTCCCCCCCCCCATCGCCTCCGGGGAAACTCGAAGGAGGAGGGGGGGGGAGTCGGGGAGATGCCGAGAGAGCTGACCTGGACTGCGTTGATTTCCCCCCCCCCAGCCTTGCACTCGTTTTCGCTCTTGAGCCTGCGCTCGGCTTCCTTCTTGAACCTGGCGCAGTGCCAATCCCAGAAACTCATGACTGCGCCGCCCGTCTTGCCGCGCGCCTGGTACTCGGCGCTCATGTCGTTTAGATGCTTCCAATATTGTAGCAATGAAAAACGGCTGCCGTTATGAAATTCGTTGCGCCATTCCCTGAGCCACCTGATGACGTCCTTAGGCGCGCGGGAGTCGAACAGGGTCGCGTTCCTCAAGCCTCTCGCGAGGCTAACCTGCACCATCTTATTCTCGGGCCACTTCTTGGCGGCCTTGTAGACCGCTCGGCTCAGCGTCCCGCAGGTCACTATGAGGGCCGGCATGCCGCTGGCAGTGTCCGACTGGATGCCCCGCGGCTCGCCGCGCACGCCCGGGATGACACCGCAGTCACGCGCAAGCCTTGCGTAGTGATTCACGAAGGCCTCCTGTTTGCGAACGTTCTCGGGGTGAGGCACGATGGTCTGCGCGCCGTCGTCATCAGAGAACTGCAATGTGACGTTGCGCCGCGCCGCGTAGTCGTCGAAGACGGCTTCTTGGAGCAGAATCCCCTGCAGCCCAAGATATCGAACGTCCACCGAGGCCTTTTCTATCCACATCTCGCCCCCCGTAGCGTTCGCGGAGGGCTCTGGCTCGGGAGTGGCCGGTGGCATGATGAGCGCGCGGCGCAGGCGCAGGGAGTGTCTCGGCGTTGCTCGCTGGCTTTGGCTCTCGGTCAAGAAAGCCAAAAATGGCTTCGGCGGGGCGAGGGCGTGGCGGGGGGGAGGAGGAGATGGAATGGGATCGGCCATGGAACCCTACGAAGCTGTGCGGCATGGGTTCCCGGCGCCCCGGGGCCCCGGGTCATGTTGTCGCGAAACTTGGCGCTGACGCCCCGAGTGCCTGGGGGGGGGAGGGGGCAGGGCCCCAGGGCCTCGATTCCGCTCCCGCGGCTCAAAAGAGAGATTGAGCAAAAGGAGATGGAGGGGGAGAGAACGCGAGAGACGGGGAGGGGCGGAGAAAGGGAGCGAAAGAGAGAGAGAGAGAGAGAGAGAGAGAGAGAGAGAGAGAGAGAGAGAGAGAGAGAGAGTGAGAGAGAGAGAAAGAGAGAGAGAGAGAGAGAGAGAGAGAGAGAGAGAGAGAGAGAGAGAGAGAGAACAAAAAAAAAGAAGAAGAAAGAGCGAGATAGAGAGATCAATATAGGAACGCAGAGAGAGGGAGACAGAAAGAGAGACAGCGAGCGAGAGAGAGAGAGAGAGAGAGAGGAATTCGAGAGAAGGTAGGAGGGAGTAGGAGGGAGGGGGGAGGGGGGGGAGACAGAGAGAGGGAGAGGAAGAGAGAGGAGGGGGGCAGGAGAGGAGGTCGGTGAACTAGACGGGGCGGCAGGAGTGGCAAGGCGACGAGTCATCATTGGGAGGGGTGATTAGGCAGGCAGGATGCCATTGCGGGGAGGGGGGCAGCTCGAGAGCAACCAGGCCACCTGGAACCAAGGGGCCGCAGACATTGCGCCGCCCACCCCCCAAGAGTGGCCCCAGAAGGACCTGGGCGGGCCCATGGCATTGCTTCGTCTGGTCGCAGGGATTTCAAGTCCTGCATCCGCGCACAACCCCTCCTGGCTGGCCGCCCCCACCCTTGCCCCGCAGTCCGACTTGGCCTATCGGTTACCTCGCCATCCCTTCCCTGGCTTGTCTCCGCCCCCCCCCGCTCATCCCCCCAGGGCTTGCGGCGGTGCACGGCGGCGCGGCGCCGCGGTGCAGCGGCCTGCTCCAGGCGCAGCTGCTGCGGCTGGCCCCAGGCGATCCGCCGCGGCCGCGACCGCCGCCGCGCTGCCTCTGCGTGCAAGCGCGGCGGGGTAGGAGGACGAGGAGGACGAGGACGAGAGTGACACAAAGTAGAGGTGGCGATGCTGACGAGAATGACAAATGGCGAGCGACGAGGTGCTGGAGGCGGGAGGGGGGGGGCCGCAGGGAAGTGTGGAATTGCATATGGAATGGAGGGTAGTAGTAGTAGTAGTAGTAGTAGTAGTAGTAGTAGTAGTAGTCGTAGTAGTAGTAGTAGTAGTAGTAGTAGTCGTAGTAGTAGTAGTAACTACTGTAGCAGTAGTAGTAGCAAGGGCAGTAGGGGTCGCCTCCTACTCCTCCTCATACCCCTCATCATCCTCATGCCCGTCAACTTCAACCATCTTCCATCACATCCCCCCCCGCCCTCCCTCCCCAGCGAGGATTGCGGCAGACGACGATGGCAAGCTAGGATAGGTTAAGTCGCAGCTGGGATGAGAGCGGGAAGAGATGAGGAGGGCGAAGGCAAGAGCGGAGGTGGCGGTTGATTGCAGCGGTGACGACGAACATGCATGTAAGAGGATGAGAGCGTGAGATGCAGATGCTGGGACGTCGGCCCCATGCTGCCCCGGCGCGCAAGGAACCACCGCCAGGCGCGTCGAGTGGAGCGAGACGGATCTGAAGGCCGCCCCGCCGCAGAATATCACCCTTCGAATTAGATATCATGATGACTCGCGCACGTGTGCATTCCCTCACCCTCATTCCCTGCGCCCCATCATGCCCCCATGTTGTGCCTCTAGGCCCTAGGCCCCAGGCCCCTAGGTCTTCGGCCGCAAGGCTCCAGCCCCAGCGACAGCACGGATCGAACGCGCACGCGTGCCGCGCTCACATTCTGGGCTGGGATTGCTTACTACCTAGGGCAAGACTGGTAAGATCAAATTCTCAAACACCTCGCAAACTTGCATGCCCGACTGCTCGCGCGGGCCATCCCCCAACGTCGCGTCGAGCGACATGCTGCTGCGCGGCTGCGCTGTTGCTATCGGTTGGTCGCACTCCATGCGTGAACACCTCTTCTTCCTCATCCTCATTATTGTCTATATGCCCCCCTCTCTGCTCCTCCTCAGCTCCTCAGCCTCGGCCCCCCCTCATCATCTGTCATCCTCCTTCTCCTCCTCCCCCTAGCCACCTATGCAGCGCGAGGACGGCCAGGAATGCCAGGAACTCTATCCTGGTCGGCTCGCTGCGCGCGCGAGAGCGCCCAGAGCCAGTGCACGCCAGCGACGTGCACGTTCATTGCGTTCCCCGCCTGCTCGATCAAGGAAGCGCGGCGCCGCGCATTCCCTGGTCCGACCCGAGGTTTGACGAAAGAGCAACACGGGTGGTCCATGGCGGCGGCCTGGTCATCGTGCCCAGCGGTGGGGTCAAACGCGCATGGGTTCGAAAGCCTGGGCTGCGTCGGGAACCCCTGGGCCAAAAACATCTCCGTTGGAGTGAACCACCTATTGAATTCAGGCGAATCATAGAAGTTGATGCTGGACGGGTTGCTGATGAGAGTGTGCAGCAGGTTTGGCGTCGAAGATTGCCCGCCGAAGCCATCCCCAGGGTTCTGCGTGAGGTTGTGAACGCAGTTGCGTGGTTGCGTCCTGCGGTACTGTCGCAGGGTGCCCTGCTCGAAAGTGTTGAGGCTCTTCTCGAATGCGAGGGGGTCAGTCTTGATGTGATCGAGCGTTGCCGCTTGGCCGTAGCTCGCGCTCCCCTTGCGGCTACGAGCCCATGCGACTTCGCTCAACAGCTCGCCCTCGTCTGCGGTCATGAAGATATCCATCCTGCACCGCAGCGCGCGATGGAAGAGCGGCACCTATGATGCACGCGCGGCGTCTGGTCTTTGAACGATGACGAGTCATCGCAGAGCAGGGGCGCAGAGAGCGCAGCCACAATGGCGGCGGCGGCTGCAGGGCTGCAAAGGCCAACCGCGACGCCACCCCCCACGCCCTTGCGCTGCTATGAGCTCGCCATCATGGAGATTAAGACGCCTTGCGCGACTGCCCTGGCACAGTGTTCGCGACGGTGCTGACCACCTTGGACGGGCATGGTATTTGACCACTCAGTCATGCCTCTCATCATCCACCTCCTCCCTCCTCCGCCTCTCTCATCTCTCTCCTCCTCCTCCCCCTCCTCCTCCCCCTCCTCCCCCCCCTCCTCCTCCTTGCGGAAAGACACCCGCGACCCTGGCAACAGCTTGACCCAGGATGTTGGGGGGTGGGGTGCCCGTGGCCGGGGGGGCTCGGTGACTCACTGTTGCTTGCCCACGTCTGTCTTCATCGCCGTCCGTCGTCGACCCCGTCATATGCCTCCACCTCTCCTCATCATTCATCCTCTTCCTCTTCATCCTCTTCCTCTTCCTCCTCTTCCCCCTCCTCCTCCTCCTCCTCCTCCTCCTCCTCCTCCTGCTCCTCCTCCTCCTCCCACTAGCCGTGCTTGGCCCATCGACGCCTGCATGACGTGGACGCGGTGCGCGAGCACAGTCCATCGCCGACTGCGACGGCACGGCCACCCCAGCTGGTTCGGGGTGGTGATGTTGGATTCGACGAAGTAGACGTGACCGAGGAATTCCCGCAGCACCTCCACGTCGAAGCGCTCCGCGTTCTCGTGGATCACGATGGGCTCCTGGAGGAGGAGGAGCCGCATCGCCAGCCATGCGGCCAGCGCGCGGCTGGTCCTGCCGGCGTCCTTCAGCAGCGTGCCGATGGGCGACCAGTCGACGCATGGCGTCCCAGCGAAGTGCATGCGAGCGACGGGGTGGGCGCATCGCTGCTTGAGCAGCCTGCAGAGCGCATGCCGCTTGACAGAGCGGCCAGTCAGGACGAGCTTGTGCATGGAGGACAGCGTGATAGCTGCGCCGATGTTGGCCAGGCGGTCCAACTCGATGCTCACGTTGTCAACCCAGAACTCCTCGATGTCGTTGAACATGTGCTTCGGCGCATGCGGGTGCACTTTGAGCTCTTCGTTGGACTGGTGGGAGTTCTCACACGAGGCCAGGTGCACCATTGGCTCCACTTGCTCTCCGAGCCGATGCGAGAGTGCGCACCCGATCATGGCGGCGGCCACGCCGGGTGCATCCACTCCTGAGAAGGCAGTGCTGTATGTTGTGCTCTCGTAGGCCTGCTTCAGCTCGCGCAGCACTGCCTCGCCCATGCAACGCTGCAGCGCCGAAAAGGAATCGTCGGCCCAGCTGAAGACGTCCTGGAGGGAGCGAGTCACTGGGCACCCATGACCTCGAGGCTTCAGGCGACGGGCAAGATCGGTCGGCGAGTTCGCGTGGCGAGGCGATGGCTGTACGCCCCGGCCGTCTGACTTCGCAGCCGCGGAGGACGAGGTATCTGGCAGGGCCCTGTCAGTGACGATATCGCTGACACCGCTGCGACCGCAGTGCGGGCCTGGCGCTGCAGCGCGCGCGGGAGGCGACTGCAGCGATGGCGATCGCCGGCCAGGCGGCGATAGCATCAGTCCAGGAGGCGTGCGAGGTTCACCAGACTCGTCAGCAGCATCGCCCAATATCCTGGCTCCCGTAGCATGTGACCTCGCCGACATCCGCGCCCGACCCAGCATCGCACCCATGAACAGCGGCGACGCGCGTGGCGACCGCACTGGCGTCGGCAGCAACGCGCGAGGCTCAGGGGATGCATGTGCAGCATCGGTAGCGGCAGGGGCCGCAGGCTGCGCCGGCGGTGTAGATGGACAGGCTGACGGCATGTCCGCTCGCGCCTGCGCTGGCATGGATGGCGGCGTCGGTGGCGCGGGGCACTGTGGCGGCAACCTAGCATCGAACTCATCAAGCGGCGCCGCGCCAGGGTGCTGCGGCGGCGCTGTGTCTG